GTCTTTAAAGCAGATACTGATGCTTTTTCAGCAGATTGGCTGCTTTTGGTTTTCATGTGATCAGTGATATCATTCTGGTTCCCACAGAAGGGATCAGATATTTTATGCATATTATACATTTGTCATCAGCTTTCTTGGAAATGAATTTGATTCTTAGTTTTTCATTAAACATGAACTTCATTTTTAAAAAAATCTTTACTACAGAAAGGTAAGTATTACCAAATTAAAATAAATATAATTGTCGTTTAAGACAAAATGACTGTGGCAGGAGTGGTCTTAATATTCCGTACATGCTCTGTGGCAGGACTGCTAAGTCTTTCCCTCATAGATTTCCCAGACACCTAACCTGGTTTTATGCTTACCCCACTGGTTACTGTGCAGGTCGTAGTATAGACCATGGAGTGTTAAACATGCTTCATCTGGGACTGGCAGGTGATGTGATGGTTAAGGCACTGGACTCCCACATGGCTGACCACGTTTGAGTCCCTGACCTGATAGCTTGCTTTCTCACTTTCCCTTTCTCTCTGTCTCTCTCTGGTCAAATAAGTAAATAATAAATAAAATTAATTAATTCTTTAAAACAAACAAAAACCTCTTCATCTGTCACTTGAGACAGGATAGAGTTAGTTGTCCCTAACCATTTGAGCCTTCTTTATGGTTGAGCATATAGAACTAACACCAAAAGCCGTTACTCTGTCCTTGAAAGGGAGCTGATTACATTGTGACAGGAAAGGATCAGGCTAACGCTGATAATCGCTGATTATCTTTCTGATTTTACCCTTTGTGAAGTGTGAACTCTTCCACTGCACGTACATCTTACACGTCACCAGAGAAGACTAAGACAGCAGTTGGAACTAGAATGTAGAAAGCTACCAGATCTCTCCTGGTTTATTTTTACTGCAGAGGATAGTATTAATACTTTTTTGTAATTTTAAGAAAAGAGAAATAGGGATCAGCAGTTAGCATAATGGTTATGTCACTGGACTCCCATGTAGTCGACCACAGTTCGAGTCCCGGACCCGGAGACTTGAACTCACGCCAGGTGCGTGTGTGTGCGCGTGCCAAGATCCCAGGAGGAGAAGGGATTGCGGCGTGGCCATCCTCCCTGAGGGGTGATTTCTCGCTTTCTGTCTCTCTGTCTTTCTGGCGAGCACATGCGCCCTATAGCAAAAACCTCTACCCCCACAAAAAATGTTAATTGTTATAATACATGATAGTGGATAAGTAAATAAATAAAGTTAAATAAAAACTCTAAAAATTAAAAAAAAATTTTAAAGGGACTGGCAGGTGGCATGGTGGTTAAGTGCGCTGGATTCCCATGTGGCCAACCGCGGTTTGAGTCCCGGACCTGGTGGCTTGCTTTCTCACTTTCTCTCTCTCATTCTGTCTCTGTCTGGTCAAATTGAAATAAACAAATGAATAAATAAATAAAATTAAATAAAAATAACTCTAAAAATTAAAAAAATAAAATAATAATACATGACAGTGGTTATTAGGGACCGACTGGTGGCACAACAGTAACACTCTGCAAGACTGGCCCACATAGGAAGGTTCTGTGTTTGCACCTGGAGACCCCAGGCTGTCTGAGCCTGGTGGTAGATTGTGGTGTTAAGACTGTTAGAGAGGGGCCGGCAGGTGGCATGGTGGTTAAAGGTGCTGAACTCCCACATGCTTGCTTTCTTACTTTCTCTCTCACTCTCTCACTCTATCCCTCTATGGTCAAATAAAAATAAATAAATAAATAGATAGATAAAGATAAATAAAATCATTAAAGAAAAAATTTTTAAAAAAATGGGACCAGCAGGTGGTGTGGTGGTTAAGGTGCTGGACACTCCTGCATGGCTGACCACAGTTCGAGTCCTGGATCTGGCGACTTGCTTTCTCACTCTCTCTTTGTGTGTGTGTGTGTGTGTGTGTGTGTGTGTGTGTGTGTGTGTGTCTAGTTAAAATAAATGAGTAAATAAAATAAAAAAAATAAGACTGTTAGAGAGGGGCTGGCAGGAGGTGTGGTGAATATGGGTACTGGATTCCCACATGGTTGACCATGGTTCAAGTCCTGGACCTGGCGGCTTGCTTTCTCACTTTCCCTTTTTCTCTCTCTCTGTCTGTCTCTCTCTGGTCAAATTAAAATGATAATAATAATAATAACAAATGGAATTAAATAAATAATTCTTTTTAAAGAAAGACTGTTAGAGGTAGTGTGTATGTGTCTTGTTCATAGAGGTCATCTTTATATGTATATATACACATATATGTGATTAATAACTTCCTTAGTTAGATTATATGTTATATATTTATTTCTCCCTCTAATTTTCCTCTCTTGCACTTGAGTCTAATTTTATATTAATTCATTAGTTTTTTGTTCATGCCCTCTAGACCCAAAGCTCCATAAGGAAAAGCACCAGTTATTCTTTCATATGTATCTGCAGTACCTCACACGGTGATGTGGACATAATAAAAGGTCAATAAATATTTGTGGAATAAATAAAAAAGTCAATTAATTAATACACAGGGCAGAAGGGGTATCCTGTCATCAGCAGATGTGTCCCAGTTGTTGCCTGACTAAATTACAGAAAGTCCTTGGGAATTGGAAACAGTATTTTTTTGTAGGTACCTCTGACTTACATATGCTGCGAACATTGTATGTATGTATAAGGACATTTATTGGAATGTGTGAATTTTATGTATTCCTAAGTGCTTACTAGCTAGCACTTACTGAATGCTATCAGGTAATATGCTTAAGCACTTTTTATGTCTTGTGTCATTTAATCTTTACAACAGTCTCATGAAGTGTTACTATGCCTGTTTTACTGTAAGTTTACTGAAGCTTAGAGAAATGAAATACCTTGCCCTGGTAAGGGCATCATAATGGGAATTTGATCACACCTGTCAGTTCCATTTAAGTTAGAGACATTATGTTGCTAAAGTTTAAAGTATTTAAAAAGCTCTGCTAACAGTGACAAATAAAGGACTTATCACACAAAACAAGATATCCTACAGTACGTAGTTCAGGCCTGGTATTAATCAAAGACCCTGGGTCCTTCCATCTTCCTGCAGTATTATACTCAGTGTATGACTACATGTGCATTATTATGTTTGCAAGAGGCCATGCTTTTGTCTCGTTGGCCAAAACTGAGTTATATGGCCACCCAGGCTGCAGTGAATCTGAGAAAGTGAGTGCTGGTAATGTTTTGGGCCATGTAGTTTTTTCAGTGTACCATTGAAAGTGTGAGTATTTGGAAATGTATGACTGCAAGGTTGAACATCATCAGCTTTAGATGGTGAAAGGACTTTTTAAAGTCCAGGGCAGGGTGGGGGGCACGGAACAACTGTGGTCAAATTGTGTTTTAAAAGGCATGCTCTGATGGCTGTGTGGTGGGTTGGGGTGGGACATGACAGAATGGAAATAGGAAGAGACTGTTTAAGAAACTTTTGCAGTAATGTAGGTAAGCTCTTAGGGGCCTGAAGTAGGAAAATGTTTATATGACTAAACAGGGAATTGAGGATTCCAAAAATTTGTGGGAAGGGGGCCAGTGGGTAGCATGGTGGTTAAAAAGACTGGATCTCACACGGCCAACTGCGGTGAGTCCTGGACCTGGCAGCTTGAGAGACATGCTTGGCACATGTGCATGCATGCCCAAAATCCTGAGAGGAGAATGGAGGAGAAGAGATTGCGGCCTGGCCATCACTCCAGGAACGGTAATTTCTCACTTTCTCTCTCTGTATGTCTCTGTCTCTGCCTTTAGTGAGCATATGTGCCCTATAGCAAAAACTGAAAATATGTGGATGGTCAAATGGGTAGGATGCAGTGGTCGATTAACTCTGGGGGACAAGAGTGAAAAGTCAAAGATTGCTCTTGTTTCCAGTAGAAGTAAATGAATGGGGCCATCAACCAAGACTAGATTTCCTTCATGTGCACATCTTTATCCATTACCTGAGAAAGGTTAGGGTAGATTTGTTATATATTCCAAATACTATTTTCTTAATAATTTCTCCTGAAATTTTATTTGCTTTTTTGTTGTTTAGAAGTTTCTAACATTTGTATAGTCAAGTTTGTTAATCTTTTATATTTCTATATTGGTGTCAAAGTCTTTGCAAATGATAAAAATATCACTTTTTTTTTCGTGTACTTCTGTGGTTTATTTATTTATTTATATTTATTTCCTTATTATTTGGAGAGTTTTTTGCAGTAGGGTGTGTATGCCCGCTGAAGAGACAGAGAGAAAGTGAGAGATCACCACCTGAAGTGGCTGGCCATACTGCAGTCCCTTCTCCTCCAGTCTCCTCCTGAGATTTTGGGCATGTACGTACAGGTACCCAATGTGAGTTTCAAGCCACTGGGCCCCAGACTCTAACTGCAGCCGACCATGTGGGAGTCTAGTGCCTTAACCTCTATGCCATCTGCTGGCCCCAGTACCTCTGTGATTTAAATATTGACTTGAATAGGATTTTATTTTGGTGAGTAGGCTAAGATAAAGAAAAGGGAAGAACGTTTTCATTTGTTAGAATATGATTGAACATAATGACTGTTTCACAATGTAAAATGAAAATACTGATTTTGTTTTTTATTTTTGTTATAAAAGTACCTTTGACCTTTTTTATGGTATTGATGTTTTAAGAAATATTTGGTTAGTTGTTTCCTTCAGAAAATAAGGCATCTTGGGAACCAGGAGTTAGTGTAATGGCTATGTCGCTGGACTCCCATGTAGTCGACCATGGTTCGCGTCCTGGACCTGGTGGCTTAAAACTCAGGCCGGGCGCATGTGTGTGCGTGCCCAAGATTCCAAGAGGAGAATGAAAGAGAAGGGATTGCGGCGTGACCATCCCCCCTGAGGGGTGATTTCTCGCTTTCTGTCTCTATGTCTCTCTCTGTCTTGCCAGCACACGCGCCCTATAGCAAAAACCTCTCCAAAAAAAAAAAAAAGAAAATAAGGCATCTTTAAGTTTAAAAGTTTTATTATAAATCAAAATTAAAATAACTGTTTCTTATATCCTGACAGCAGGAGGATGCATTAGCACAACAGGCCTTTGAAGAGGCTCGGAGAAGGACACGTGAGTTTGAAGATAGAGACAGGTCTCACCGGGAGGAAATGGAGGTGAGAGTTTCACAGCTGCTGGCAGTAACTGGTTAGTACTTTCCCCAAACTCTCAGGCTGTTTGTGATGTTTGTGCAAGTGATGTTTAATAGTTTAATTTTGTCTTTCTTTTTTTAAAATGTACTTTCTGTGTTTATTAAATGTATTGCTATAAAAAAAACTTGTTCTAATTTAAGGTTATACATGAATTCCACATTTACTTGTCTTCCTAGAAATCATTTATTATAAAGGGAATATTTTCTCTTAATTAATTTACCTAAATATCTTACCTTTTTTTCATATTGTATAAATTACCTTATGTTAGCAAAGAATACCTATTTTTAGAACATTAAAACTCTTTGGGGGACCAGCAGATGGCATAATGGTTATGTCGTTGGACTCACATGTAGTTGACCACGGTGTGAGTCCCACAACTGGTGACTGTGAGTTTTTTCACACTGGACATGTGTATGTGTGTGCCCGAGAAGAAAACGGAAGAGAAGGGATTGCGTTGTGGCCATCCTCCACTGGGAGATGATTTCTCACTTTCTATCTCTCTGTCTCTCCAGTGAACACATGTGCCCTGTAGCAAAAACCTCTCCCCTCCCCCCAAAAAAGTTGATGTTAGGTACTTAAGGTAATCAAATTAATGGAGACAGAGGTAGAATATTTGTTGCCAAGGGAAATGGAGAGTGGTGGTTAATAGGTGTAGAGTTTCAGCTTTGTAAGATGAAAAGAGTTATAGAAATTAGGGGCACAACAGTGTGACTATTCTTTCTTTTTCTTTTTTTTTTTTTTTTGAGAGAGTTTTTTGCTATAGGGCACGTACACTCACCAGAAAGACAGAGACAAAGAGATAGAAAGCGAGAAATCACACCCCACCCCACCCCCCGGGGGAGATGGCCACTCCGCAATCCCTTCTCCTCTAGGGATCTTGGGCTCGCATGCACACGCACCTGACGTGAGTTTAAGCCACCGGCTCCGCTCCATGGGAGTTCAGCTACATAGCCATTACGCTAACTGCTGGTCCCCAGTGTAACTGTTCTTTTTTGGAGAGTTTTTTTTGCTATAGGGCGCGTGCACTCGCCAGACAGACAGAGACAGAGAGACAGAAAATGAGAAATCACCCCCCAGGGGGATGGCACGCCACAATCCCTTCTTCTCCATTCTCCTCTTGGGATCTTGGGCATGCACACACACGTGCCTGGCGTGAGTTTTAAGCCACCGGGTCCGGGACGAGAACCACGGTCGACTACGTGGGAGTCCAGCGACATAGCCATTACACCAAATGTTGGTCCCCAGTGTGACTGTTCTGAAGGCCACTAAACTGGTACTTAAAAATAAGTGAGGGTCTGGCAGGTGGCAGGTGGTCTGGCCTCCCACATGGCAGGTGGTCTGGCCTCCCACATGGCTGACTGTGGCAGCTTGCTTTTTCACCTTCTCTCTCTTTCAGGTCAACTTCAAAAAAATAAAATAAAGTAATGATAATGAATAAAATAAAATAATTAAAAAAAAAAAAAAGTTAAGATGGGCCCAGTAGGTGGCATGGTGATTGAGCTGCTGTACTCCTACCAACCACTGTTTGGGTTCCCGACCTGGTGGCTCACTTTTTCACTTTCTCTCTTTCTCCCTCTGTCTCTTTTTCTCTTGCTATCTCTCTCTGGTGAATGCATGTGCCCTATTGCAAATTCAATAATAATGATGATAAAATTAAATAAATAATTATTTTACAGTAGTTATTTTATATTTTATATTTTATATATTATATATAAATATATTTAACATAAAAGAGTGTGTTGTGTACCCACTTGTGTGTACACCAAGACAGTGGTTAAGAGCCTAGACTATAAAGCTAGACTCAGCATCTAAATTTGGCTTTGCAACTTTGTTGCCTCAGACAACTTACTCACCTTTCTGTGGCTGAGTTTCCTCCTTTACAAAATAGGGATAATAATCGTGGCTAGCTCCTGAGTTTTCATGAGGATTAGGTGAATTACATCCATGTGAAGTTTGGATTTTTTTTTTTTTTAGAGGTTTTTGCTACAGGGCGCCGTGCACTTGCCAGAGAGACAGAGACAGAAAGCAAGAAATCACCCCCCAGGGGGAATGGCCACGCTGCAATCCCTTCTCTTCCATTCTCCTCTTGGGATCTTAGGCATGCACGCTCACACGCCTGGCTTGAGTTTAAGCCACCGGGTCCAGGACTCAAATCACAGTCGACTACATGGGAGTCCAGTGACATAGCCATTACACCATCTGCTGGTCCTCCATGTTTAATTTTCAAATGTATAATACACACTTGTTATTCTGAACCTTTTTGTTCATGTTGTTTATTCTCTGTTGTAGAATATAGTACTTTTACTGTCCACTCAGGGCCCAGTTTAACCGTTATCTGTCAGGCCCTTCCTCAGTAGTCCTGTTAGTCTTTCTAGTTTGTGCAGTAAACTATCAGGGAAAGTAATGATCATTTTTGAATAGAAGAACAAAGAAAAATATGTTATGATTTTTCTGACAACCCAATAGCGTTTATTTTTACGAGTGTTCATATTGAACAACATTTTGAAACAACCATAAGCATTCTCCATGTCACGTGTGTGTACCCAAGATCCTGATGACCTAGAGGACTGGGGGAAGGGAATTGCAGCATGCTAAGGTCCTAGAGAATGCTTCTTTCTTTTTCTCTCTCCTCCCCTCTCTCCATCCCTCCCTGCCTCCTTCTCCCCCTTTGTCTCTCTGTCTCATGTGTATGCATGTGTTCTCTATCATGAATAAAAATAAAGCTAAATTTTCCTGGGGCCAGCAGGTGGCATGGTGGTTAAGGCACTGGACTCCCACATGGCTGACCATGGTTCAAATCCTGGACCCAGTGGCCCCTGAATATCAGCACAGGTGCATGCTAACTCAAAATCCCAAGAGGAGAATGGAAGAGAAGGGATCATAGCATGTCTATCCACCCAGGGGATGCTTTCTTACTTTGCTTCTCACTGTCTCTCTTTGTTTCTCTTGGGCAAGCACACAATACCTTGTGGCAAAAACCTCAAAAAAAATTTTTTTTTAGTCCTTCACTTTATTATAATCCCATAAGATGATGTACCTTATTTGTAAATCTCTCACATTACCCACTATACATTGTGTTTAGTTGTTTAATAGATATTTTCAGAAAACAGCTCCTTTTCTGCCTATCTGAAAACTAGAAGTACAGATTCATCTATAGGAGAGTTAAGTATATACATATATGTAATATATATTATAATATACATGATATGTTAGTCTCTGGAAAGATGTTAAATGTTTGTAGTTTGTTGGTTTGTATTATAGTTAGGTAAGTGATAAACACCAACTGTTTTGTACCAGATTCTGCAGTAGGGTCTGAAAAAATGTAGATGAAGATGCATGGTTCCTGTCTTTGAGTAGCTTTCAATCTTAAGGGAAAGTAGACACATAAACAGGTCATTGCAGTGACCTTGAACAGTATCCACACACATCAGGAGTTCAGAAGGGTCCAGCAGCAGGCTAGGGGAAGGGGCACTTAAATCTGCCTCTGCTTAGAGATTTACAGGAAAATGCACTCGCAGGGATTTGGACAGAGTGTGAGTTTGCCAGCTGGAGAGGCTGGGGAAAGCATTCCGGGCAGGAGGAACAGTGTCTGCAACAGCATGAGAGTAAGGGAGCTTGCCAGTCAAAGGACATGGTTGGCTGGTCTTTCTGGGGCGAGCTACCATGGCCTTTAAATGAATGTAACAATTGTTTTCTAAAAAGTGCTGTTCTGCTACATTATATTTGAATAATAACTATTTGACTGTTAATGAAACAGTTGGTAGGAAGTGTTTGGTTTTATTTTATTTTAAATATAATTCTAAATTGAGTAAGAGTCTATTCCAAATTGTTAGTTTGGTTTTTCTAACTTATAATGTTGTTCCTTGAAGAAAAGAATTTTGGTCTGGGAACCAGCAGTTAGCGTAATGGCTATGTCGCTGGACTCCCACGTTGTCAACCGAGGTTCACGTCCCAGACCCGGTGGCTTAAAACTCATGCCGGGCGTGTGTGCCCAAGATCCCGAGAGGAGAATGGAGGAGAAGGGATTGCGGTGTGACCATCCCCCCTGGGGGGTGATTTCTCGCTTTCTGTCTCTATGTCTGTCTGTCGGGAGAGTGCACGCGCCCTATAGCGAAAACCTCTCAAAAAAAAAAAAATGGTGTTTGAGTTATGTGTGCATGAACCAAAATTGATAGAGGTGTCAAATAATTTGTTGCTTAGGTCGATTGTTTCCTGTCAGGTTTTTGTCAGTAATCAGGAGCATGGGCTTTGTAGTCATGTGAAGCTGAAATTCATGCTCCATCACTTGCCCTTCTCTCTTAAGCCCCAGTTTTCTTGTAGAAATTGTTTTGAGCAGTAAATGGGAAAATGCTTGTGAAGCACTTAGTATCATGCTTGGGTATGTGTATGCCAACAGTAAATAATAAGCTCTACAATACTTCTTCAGCACTAAACGCTCTGCCCCAGTGCTGGTTCCAGTTAATTTAATTATCTGGCTAACAAGAACATCCTTTCAGTTCTCTAAATGTATCAGGGCACTTTTCCCTGCATTATGTCCTAGAGCTCAGAGAAAATGGTTAAATTTTCATGAATGATTTAAGATTCTGTAATCCCTTTTGGCAGTAATCTAAAACATCAGTTCTTTTTTTAATTTTTTTTTTTTTTGAGAAGTTTTTGCTAGAGGGCACGTGCGCTCACCAGAAAGACACAGATAGAAAGCGAGAAATCAGCCCCGAGGGGGGATGCTGCAGTCCCTTCTCCATTCTCCTCTTGGGATCTTGGGCATGCATGCACATGCGCCTGGCATGAGTTTAAGCAGCTGGGTCCAGTTCTTAAAGAGAACTATCATCTACAAAATTGGGCTTGCATATCTTTTGGCACTTTACATGTATGTATTTTGCTCTTTCTCTCTTTTTCCTAATTTTCATTAAAAAAAAAAAATCCTTAATTTGGGCCAGCAGGTGGCATAGTGGTTAAAGTACCAGATTCCCACATGGCCAACCATGGTTCAAATCC